AGATTGTAAGGGAATTGGAAAGCTCTGACTTTCTTAGGTGCTGGGAGGCGGTCTATGGTCAGACATGTGGCTGGGTAGAAAGGAACACTAAAGGTGGATTGTCAGAATTACTTTTAAACCAAATTACTGCTATTTAAATTTGGTGAATAAGTCGACAAATTTTGTACACGTTATGTTTACATCACTATATTTATACATACACACACACGCACACACATATATACGAACAATGCACCACATTTCTACCAGACACTATCCTATATCAACCACATCGATGAAAAGAGATGTTAGCGAGGTCAATAAGAAAGACTAGTCGAAGGTTTAGCAAACATTCGATGGCGCATCGATTATGTGCTATAAAAAGGCCCTTAACACCCGTGGAGCTTGTGCCCCTAGAGGCAGGGGACTGGCAAACATGGCGTTCAAACACCGACAGACGATTTTTGAGCTCGACAAATCCTTTGGCGCAGTTACATGCTTGCATTATCACGACTGCTTGGCAAATCAAATAAAGCTAATATCGCGTTCACAGTTAAGCCAAGAATTTGAGGATTTTGTGCTTATTCATAGTTGTTATTAAAAGCAAAGGTGGGTTATGTAAAAATTGTCAGTTGTTTAAGATGGGCCAGTGCTGCCTTGATAAATAAGTAGTGTTAGCCTAAATCCTTTCAGACCTAAAGATCCATAGGGCAGACGAAGTGGTCCATATGTTTATTGACCTCGGCATTTGAAGGGGTGGTGTGGTCAGTACTATGCAAAGACGCCTTTAACTTTCCCTAATGTAAGTCAGGTACCCATCAGAGCTGGGTGGACAAAAAAACGGACCGAGATCCAAACTCGAGACCTTTGTGCTGGTAGCCGAGCTCTCTGCCATTCAACTACGCCGTCTCACTAGTGACAGCATGGGCTAATTCATTAACTTTTCTGCTGTAAAATTGTGTGTAGTAGCCAAGCTTTAAGCTTGTTCGTGTATGTCTGGCGCACTCGTCAAGAGAAGAAAACACAATTACTTTCACCCATGCATTTTTTAACAGCTCGTTGTGGTTCTTAATTAAGAACCTCTAACCCAGAACCGTTAGTGATATGATAACTTGGCGTGTCCTCGAGAATTAATGAGCGCAATTTCGTGAACTTGATCACCATTCCCCCCCCCCCCCCCCCCCACCCCCACCTATCTCTCAATAGATTATTGAATGCGAGGCTGAGACAGCTCACTTGTAATAAACAGAAAGATTGATGAGAGGGGCTACAGAAACCGAAAATCTAACGACCATCCGAATTTAGGGAAAATCTAACGACCATCCGAATTTAGGGAAAATCTAACGACCATCCGAATTTAGGGAAAATCTAACGACCATCCGAATTTAGGGAAAATCTAACGACCATCCGAATTTAGGGAAAATCTAACGACCATCCGAATTTAGGGAAAATCTAACGACCATCCGAATTTAGGGAAAATCTAACGACCATCCGAATTTAGGGAAAATCTAACGACCATCCGAATTTAGGGAAAATCTAACGACCATCCGAATTTAGGGAAAATCTAACGACCATTCGAATTTAGGGAAAATCTAACGACCATCCGAATTTAGGGAAAATCTAACGACCATTCGAATTTAGAGAAAATCTAACGACCATCCGAATTTAGGGAATATCTAACACTATCCAAATTTAGTGAAAATCTCAAGGCCACCAGATTTTTGTCAAAATCTGGAGGCCATCCGAATTTGTCAAAACGCACCATTTTAGCTAACAAGTAAAGGCCAGCGTACAACATTTCTTGTCTGACAACCTACCCGCGAAAAGGTCGTCGTAATGGCCGACTTCCGTCAGCACACGACCTCATATTTTGCCACACTCTCACTAAGATGCTGTCACTAAAAGGGTAAAATCATTACTCACATAACAAAATAACCCCGTGTTCCTGCATGTCTTGTTTAGCCCGACACACATGTCGGACAGTTGGTCAATAAGAGGGGCAGACGACTCCCCAAACTTAATGACCTCTGACCTCATCACATCAACACTTGTCAACTGCGTGCGATTAAAATATGCTCTCGCTCGAGTTTCCTTAACTGGCTCAGTTAGTGCGCAATGGGTACAATGTGGTGTGTAATGAGTACAATATGGTGCACAATGGGTACGTTAGGGGGTACTGTGTCGATGAACAATGAGTACAATATGGTGTATAATTAGTACAATTTGGTGCATGATTGGTACAATATGGTGCACAATGGGTACAATTTGGTGCACAATGGGTACATTATGGTGCACAATGAGTACAATATGGTGCACAATGTGTACAATAAGGTACATAATACGTACAATATGGTACACAATAGGTATAATATGGGTACATTAGGAAGTATTGTGTCGGTACAGAATGGGTACATTATTGGTACAGTGCCGGTACATTATTGGTACAGTGTCGGTACAATATTGGTACAGTGTCGGTACATTATTGGTACAGTGTCGGTACATTATTGGTACAGTGTCGGTACATTATTGGTACAGTGTCGGTACATTATTGGTACAGTGTCGGTACATTATTGGTACAGTGTCGGTACATTATTGGTACAGTGACGGTACATTATTGGTACAGTGTCGGTACATTACTGGTACAGTGTCGGTACATTATTGGTACAGTGTCGGTACATTATTGGTACAGTGTCGGTACATTATTGGTACAGTGTCGGTACATTATTGGTACAGCATGGGTACATTATAGGTACAGTGTCTGTACATTATTGGAATTGTTTGTGTAATATGAGTAGGGAGCCAGTACTATCTGAGTGTGTGTAACGTGGGGCAGCCCACAATGCGAGTACAGCCGGTGCAGTGTGCGTCCAGTATGTGTACAATATTTGGTTTTACAATCGGAGGCTGAACTTTTGTCCGAAAGGCGCCGGCCCGAATGTCGTTTGCCTAAATGCGACAAATGCGCGAATGCTTACAATTTTTCATAATGAAATCTTTTCTGTTTTTCCGTTTAAAGAAAATATAAAACGTGTCGTAGGCCCGTTACTATCTAAGGACATAGTACAATACGAGTACAGTTAGGTACAGTGTGAGTACAGCCGGCAACAGAATTAAGTCAACGACTGTTTTACTCATCTCTGGACGATGTGACTAATCTAAAAATGCCGCACTTAACTATGTGTCACAGTTACAGAGTTGAATATATCAGCATGGCCTAACGACCAACATAACAGCAGTATAAGCCGAACGGGGAATTAATGACTCATCTAAAAGTTGGTACGGTCTAACTAAATACAACACCAGAGCGGGTGAGAGAAATTAACAAAATGGTAATTAGGAAACTGATGAAACTAGTTCAGAAATGTTTTAAAAATATCTTTATGGACAGATGGGACAAGCCTGGGTTAATCAGATGAGCAATTAATTAAACGTATTGGTTTCATTAAGAGAAACACCTACAGCACCTGTGCTGTGCTAATTGTAAAATTATGGGGTGACATGGGCTATGAGAGCGTAGCACACCGTTTTATGTGAATCCCTACAAGGCCACGTCTTATTTTTAGAAACACCAAAGGCATTCAACCGTGAATACGATTCGTGAATGAAACAGCACTTCATATCTACACTATCAAAAGAATAAAATGGGAACTTGTGTTTTATTTTGTTTCCCCTTGACGACTAAATGGATTGCACAAGGATAATCGGTCAAAGGAAATTCACGATATTTGAAAATTCTATTCTCCAAGGAAATCCATTGATATCGTCGAGAATATTTATTTTAAAAGAATTATTTTCTGTTAAGAGTCATTTTTACAGCATAATAAATGTTTTGCTATCCTAGATCAGCGAATGCTTTTCATATCTTACAGGGTTTTTTTTAATGTGGTCCATGACTACAGTTTATCTGTTTCTCTGACCTCGGCATATAAAATATTGTGTAACTTTGCCTTCAGGTAACCATCACAGTCTGTCCACTTCTAAAATAAAAAAGACCGTGTATACTTCCACCTGTGAACATACACCCCCCACATCCCCTAAAAATGCCTATAATAACGTACCAGTAGGCCTTACCAGTGTATTATTGCATTGTGCTAGATACAAAGGGGAGGTAATGCTAAGGTAAAAAATTCCGATTCATCTCGTGGTTTCATGGTACGGAATAATCACAATATGTTAATGAACCCTCAAACGTCATGCCAAACTTGTTGTTTCGCAATGGGTAAATTCCGTATACGGGTCATTACACATGTTAATTACTTTGTATATGTATATATATATATATATATATATATATATATATATATATATATATATATATATATATATATATACATATATATATATATATATATATATATATATATATATATATATATATATACATATATATATATATATATATATATATATATATATATATATATATATATACCTGATTATATTAAGCTGTATAAATGTGTATAAATATCACTAATTTAATTTAAAAGAATAGCAGTAGGCCTTTGTGTATTAAATTTTCAACTATTATGCAATTTTAAAAAATAAAATAGTAAAACATGATCTCTAACCATCGTCTAACATTGTAAAGAACTGAACTTGGAATTGTCCAGCTAGATCTAGACTGACCGTTGATTTCTGTGAGTGGGGCATGTGGCGGCCGAACCAACGTAACTCCCCCCTCCCTCCCACCCACATCGTGTGGCCACAACAATAGCCAGTTAGATTCATTATCCCAAGTAGCAATCAAAACTGTGTTGACCGAAGGTCATCCTCAATATAATTATACATTTAAAAAACGCAGGCGCGGCCAGATTTAACAGAGAATGTCAAGAAAATGACAGCGAGAAAGGCCTAAACAGTTGAATAAAAATAAATTTAAAACAATACACAAGTCTCGCCATTTAAAAAAAAGAACCAATTAAAACAAAAGCTAAATATAGGCTAAATACTATTAAAATAAATAGGTAGAGTGATCTATACGATAGAACAAGATTCATTTTTTAAAATATATATTTACTCACCCATCGCTTTATCTTGTCGAAGAGCGTCTGTCTAGACCAATCGCACACACCTTGAACAACGAACTCAATCTAGACAGGTTATTCTATTGAGGGACAGCAAATGTTTATACTCCGTTATCCAAGCTAGGCCTAGGTTTAGTTTCATCTTGTGTGAGCTCAAAATATTCGCATTCACAATTTGGAAATATGTCAAGATTCGCGTTTTTCCTAAGCTAAGTACTAAGCGACGGCCTTTTTACTTCGGTGCAAAACAGTTATGATCAATTAAAACGAACAATTGTAATTGAGATATTTTAAAATATTGATTGTTCAAACAGTAGTAGGCCTGCTATTAAAAAACGATCACACAATCAATACACGGACACAATACTGAATTAACCAATTAATCTCATAGAGGACTTATCTTAAAAATGACGTTTAGCTCATAACACACCGTCACAGTGTTGTAATAATAACAATAGCAACAGGTTGGAAAGGCTAGGCGAATATATCACATGTCGATTCCTTACAAGAATGGTATGACATCATTAATGAATACTTAATGAAACCAAAGAAGAACCGCGTGCAACAATGTGTACCGGTCCGGGAGACAACACGGTTGGCTGACTACACATTGCACATCAGACCACGCTCTCGTGCTTGGTGAATTCATGCCCTCACACACCACGACCTTCCCCGCTCGAAACTTCTGCGGGTGTTGTTTAATTATTTCAATTAGGCCCTAAATTAGAGTTCATAAATCTGCTAGTAAGTTTGCATGTCAACACTGAATTTAAGCTAATTAATCGATTAAGCAGACATCAGACTAACTTGTCATTGCCGTCGTTTGAAGGCTATCATAGCACACATATCTAAAAGCTTAATTGCAGTAGGCCTAATGGGGTGACTAAACTAATTCATCATGTAACAATGATCAAAATAATGGAACACATTCTTTCGGTTTTTAACAATAGTTTATAGATCTAGTTTATGTCTAATAATAAGACAGGCACCTTGCCCTTGGCCCTATACATAATTATTAATATTGTATTATTATGATTAGTATCCTCATCTACGAATGAATTAATATCAGTAGGCCTAATACTTTTATAGTATTTATACTTATGAAGTTATTACAGCCTATTTAAGTAGTTACATTTTTAATTAACTTTTTAGTATACTGTTAGACGTTAGATCCTAACTACTTTTTCTAGATCTAGATCTAGTATTAATTATTAATATTAAGTAGGCTAGGCCCTATTATTATTATTTATTAGGCCTAGGCCTAAGTATTAAATTAATTTTATTTTTATTTTTAGATCTAGCATCTGGCCTGGAGTATTAGAATAATACTATAGGCCTAATTATTTAACTTAATTCTATTTCATCTATTCATCTGTTCTGTGTTATTTTAAATTTATTATTAGTAATATTAGGCCTACAAAAATGTAATCTCGATCTGGATCTAGACTCTAGAAGATCTAGAATCTAGATCCTAGATATCTAATCTAGATTCTAGAGCTCGGTTCTAGATCTAGATTCTAATCTAGAATCTAGATTTAGATTGTACATCTAGTTGTAGGATAGGTGGTTACCGGTACATGAACATTTTAAATCTGAGAACAGACGGCTAAAATAAAAACACAAATCGCTTCACATTTACAAGAAGTGTATCGCCCGAACTGCTTTTATCCCGTAGCAGAAACCAACACACGTTGGGTGCAACAAACACGCGACGGCCTCGGTTTATCCAACTAGATCCACACGCCGCGAGCACACGTAAAGCTCATAGCTGATAAAAAAAAAAAAGAAAACGAAAAAAAAAAAGAAACGGAACGTAACGTCTTCTTGTGTAGACGATGTGTCGCCTATTGATTTCTTTTTTTTTTCTTGGATAACTATTAAACTAAGGACTGAGGGGTTATCGCTCGGGGCAATTGTGCAAAATTAAACTATACATCGTTAAAAAAGGGTCTATTTATTTACATTATAATACTGTTATGTACCTGAGTTTTGATTCAGTTGGTCATTTGGGTACTGCTATTTCTCTTTCATTCTATCCAGTGTATCTTTAACGCATCCCCGGAGCAAAATCTCTAAAAAAAACACCACTGGATCTAATAATCTAGAACATTAAACGATATATATAATATATATATATATATATATATATATATATATATATATATATATATATATATATATATATATATATATATATATATATATATATATAATTACTTGTAATTTAATTAGGTCCTATAACTAATTGCGTTTATTTTTCAGGTTCTTTTTTAACTTTTACGTTAGAGGGAATTAAAAATTGGAATATTCCGAGTAAACTATCTTTACATTAGGTCGATCACTTGGACACACGCACTTACCAACACTACTCAAATACTCACACTTTACCCTTCTATTAATACATTCGCTAGTACGCAAGCAAATACGTTCAACACCCGTCGCATCACCAATACCACCACTAAAAAGACAGCCCCCCCCCATCCCCTCCTAATATTACCACTCACACACCACTCCTCCCAACACACACATAAGGTGAGATTAAGAGACATGTTTGAACTAAGACAGGGGTGCCAACTAGATCTCACAGGAAAAAAAAACAAACATCGCTCGTTGATCGGCTCATCCACTGCGGACTAATCCCAGAATCAGAGGCGTATCGAGGGGGGGGGGGGGGCGGGCGGGGGGGGGGGGGACATATGTCCCCGGGCGTTGACCTTAGGGGGGCGACAAAATGGAAAGTTTGAGGGGGGGGGGTGTGCAAATCAAAAGTTCGAGGGGGGGGGGTGTGCAAATCTAAAGTTTGAGGGGGGTGCAAATCGAAAGTTTGAGGGGTGGGGTGCAAATCGAAAGTTTCTCCCCGGGCGCCGGGAAGGGTCGCTACGCCTCTGCCCAGAATTCCTTTCGACTGTCCTTTTATTATATGCATCAAGTTTGAGAGTTAATCCACTGTTTTTTTTATCTTTAGATGAAATAAAAGGGACAGTTCAATGGGTCTATTTCTGTTGAACAAGTCAATCTACCTAAATACCCCCCCCCCCCCCCCCCAAACACACACACAAACACTCACGCACGTATAGACCTATTAAATATAAATAAAAATATCAACAGTTTTATGTAAAATAATCAACAAACTAAATCGTATTTTCATGTAGAGTTGACAAGTACAGCTATTAAAACAAACGTTATCCTACCCAAGGGAATTAATCGAGGGCCTAATGTGCATCCCCTTTTGTACTTGATTGTTTTTCTCTCCCTTGATGTTCAGCACTCAATAGCTTGCAACAGTTTGTGTACTACTCCCCCCCCCCCCCCCCACCCCCATCTCTCTATACAATAATCCTCTCAAGGGCCATAGTGAGTTTTTTTCTTTATTCTTATGCAAAAAGAGTTGTTTGAAACGGCAGCTGTTCTTCTAATTAACTTGCAAATGATGATTTTAATCTCTTGTAGAGCTATTGGTTATGTAATGGATTCTAGTAGGCTAATGGTCCATTTGATGTTAAGCTGACAGTTTAAAAAAAATATACAACAGCATATAGCTCAGAGAAAAACTGTCATTAATACATCAAGCGGGGCGTCAATTGTCTATTATGACATAATTTGCTCAATAGTGGAGGGGTGGTGCTGTCCTTTGTGCTGATGTGCTAAATAGGGGTGGGGGAGGTGCTGTCCTTTGTGCTGATGGGCTAAATAAGGGTGGGGTGGTGCTGTCCTTTGTGCTGATGGGCTAAATAAGGGTGGGGTAGTGCTGTCCTTTGTGCTGATGGGCTAAATAAGGGTGGGGTGGTGCTGTCCTTTGTGCTGATGGGCTAAATAGGGGTGGGGTAGTGCTGTCCTTTGTGCTGATGTGCTAAATAAGGGTGGGGGAGGTGCTGCCCTTTGTGCTGATGTGCAAAATAGGTGTGGGGAGGTGCTGCTCTTTGTGCTTGTGTGCTAAATAGGGGTGAGGTGGTGCTGTCCTTTGTGCTGATGTGCTAAATAAGGGTGAGGTGGTGCTGTCATTTATGCTATGTAAACAGCTACAGGGGCCTATGTCTGGGTAAACAGCTAGAGTGACCTATGTCTTTGTAAACAGCTACAGTGACCTATGTCTGTGTAAACAGCTACAGGGACCTATGTCTGGGTAAACAGCTACAGGGGCATATGTCTGGGTAAACAGCTACAGGGACCTATGTCTGGGGGGGGGAATATAGGGACCTATGTTTGGATAGGGTTCAGATTGAACGGGGAAAATAGGACCATGAGCTGCGTGTGTGTTGGGGTTGGGTACGATCGTGTTGATGATGGTGTATTTTAGGGTAGGGTCTGGGGTAAGGGTGGGTGAGTTTTTGGTAGGGGTGGGTTTGTTAAAGACGCGGCTGTTGTGACAACATCCAAAGTACAGTTCACTGCCTGACGCCCAATTCTCTTATTTACATGTTCAACACATAAATATAACCGAGAGAAGTAGATGATAGTTAGACCAGCTCCAACACAGTACAAAGATAAAATATTTGTAGCCAACATCTTGAGTGTAGAGTGGCTCGGTAGTTACTACTGTTTTTGTTTGTTTACTTTCGTGTTGGGGTTATCGTCAAACAAAGCAGAGACACCTGGTGAAGTTTGTGTCAAAACTTTCAGCACGCTCCCAATGTATTTTTCAAGGCCAAAAGTAAAACTCCCACAGCTAGAAAAATGTGTAAATTAATTTTTTTTTCCTTTCTTTTTTTTTCCCAGGGACCCGCTATTGATCTGGCCGTATTCTTGAATTCGGTGATCGTTAGCTGGCAAATCGATGGGCATGGGGAAAAAAGATGTGATGAGGAGGGGTAGAAGTGGTGCTAGACTAACGACACCCTGGTTACATTTCAAAACTGTAAGGAACGCTCCGTATAATGATTGTAGGGAACTATCGTTAAATGATTGTAGGGAACTATCGTTAAAATGATTGTAGGGAACTATCATTAAAATGATTGTAGGGAACTATCGTTAAAATGATGTAGGGAACTATCGTTAAAATGATTGTAAGGAACTATCGTTAAATGATTGTAGGGAACTATCGTTAAAATGATTGTAGGGAACTATCGTTAAAATGATTGTACGGAACTATTATTAAAATGATTGTACGGAACTATCATTAAAATTATTGAAGAGAATTATCATTAAATGATTGTAAGGAACTATCATTTAAGTAAGTGTAAGGAACTATCCTTCAAATAATTATTAAGAACTATATTTAAAATAATTGTAAGAAGCTTTCATTAAAATAATAGTAAATCACTGTCCCTACAAATAATTATAAGTGCTTATCAATTTAAAAAAAAACAACTAAAAACACCGTGGCTGTTTTTGGCTTAATTATACCTCCACCCAAAAACAGACCCAAACCCTAGCCAAACCTAACTTTAGACCTAACTTCTTCTTTGTAATCCCGACCTAACCCGAACCCTAGCCAAACCTACATATAGACCTAACCTCGTTGTTTAGCCCCTACCCTATACCTAAACATAGCCTTAACAAGCAAACAAAAACCAGTTACAACACTGTTAAATATCCATTGCCAGCGTGTGGGTGACCTGAGCCACAAAATCAGAACTAAATATAATTTTTAGTTTTCGTTTCTTTAAAGATTGCACTATAATTAAAATTAATTGTAACATATTTTTTAAAGGACAAGTCATTAGCGTCGGTCGGGCTTAGATTGGTTCTCGGTGGAATGGTTCTGTGTTACATAATTAGCGTTGTCATTTTTTTTAAAATGATAATAAGATAAACATGTAATTAACAGGTCCGCTCGGCACTAGAATAGTCAGGTAAACTCACACACACACACACTCACATGAACTCTCTCTCTCACACACACACTCACAAAAACTGTTTTTCTCTCTCTTTCTATCTCTCTCTCTCTCTCTCTCACACACACACACACATCATACACACATAAAGAAATGTGTCTATACTTTATTTTTTTGTCATAGACAGTTACCAATAAAGGGGAAACAACCTTATAAATCCTGCGTGGTTGGGTTGCTTCTCTTTGCTCTGTGCAGGTATATGTGAGGTTTTTCCGAGGCGTCTTTAACATCGATATTAAATATGGTAACAGAATTACTCTTAACTGTTTTCTTTAAGAGAAGTGAAAATACTAGATCGCCCAGACGTATTAAACAGTGTACTGATCGCCTAATTTGGTGGCTAACTAAAATATGTAGACCTTCGACTGTAGTTTAAATAGTAACCAGATATGTTTTTGTGAGACATTACGGTAAAACGATAATACATAAATTATTCTAAAAAAAAACAATGTCAACAAAAGTCGCCCTCCCCCCCCCCCCCCCCCATCCCGGGTCGGTAAAGCTCTTGGTTGCCAAACAGAGTCCCGAGTTCGAATCCCGGGCAGATGAAGTTCGACAGCTGGCAGAGAAAAATTTTAAAATGCAACAGCTGCCTTGTAGTTTGTTCTTGTATGGACAAATCCACTAACAAAAGCAGGTTGAAATCGGAGTCAGCGGCCTATATGGAGCATAGCAGATTGACACGTAATACATGATTATGTTGGAATCCCGCTCATCAATTAAGAACCAAGACAAAGAAGTGCCAATAAAACAATTGTTTGCGAAACTGAATTATTTTAAAAGTTTAATGGCGAGGGTGGTTGAGAACAGTCGAGAAAACTTGGGGTTACTTTTTGCCAGACCCTTTATGAAGTCACAAGGCGTATAAGAAGATGAGATGTGTTAAAAGAAATGGGGTCTTCACATGAAAGA